GAGCTACTACCGGCCGTCCACGCCGTTGTGGCTGGATAGACCTGGTGGCCCTGCGTTATGCGGTGATGCTGAGTGGCGTTACCAAGATCATTCTTACTAAGGCAGACGTGCTGGATGGCTTTAACCCGGTAAAGGCGGCTACTGCTTATGTAGTAGATGGAAGAGAAACAAAGGAGATGCCTTATGATATTTGTGATGCAGTGATAGCGCCTGTTTACGAAACATTTGCCGGATGGGAAACCCCGATCAGTCAGTGTACCAGCAAGGAAGATCTGCCCCAGTCATTTAAAGACTTCTGTCACTTTACCGAGCAGTATTTAGGCACTGAGATAGCGTACGTTTCCAACGGTACGGGCAGGGATCAGTTGCTGAAAATGGATTAGTGGAAATTTAGCATTTTTTCCGCAAAAAAAAATTTGGCTAATTGCGCAAACAATTAAAAATTTACGTCAGAACAAACAGATGAATATGGTTTGCGGATGAACACCGCACACTCTTTAAAATCAAGCAACCGATATACAAAGCACATTGCGATGAAAACGAACACGGATAAAAAAGCAGCAACCAAGAAGAGCGCAACTTCGGGCGCCGTAAAGAAGACCGCAACAAAATCAAAGGCTGCCAAGCAACTGGACGAAGATGATGAGGACGAGCTCGAAGACGAAGACAAGCCCGTCAAGAAAACCGCTGTAAAAAAGACAGCTACCAAAGGCGCTAAGAAAAGTGGTGATGATGATGAGGACGACGATGATGACGATGTGGAGGAGGTAGATGACGACTTTAACATGGACGAAGACGAATTCGGCGATAAAGACTTTGAAGAGTTTGACATGCCGAAGAGCAAGACAAAAGCCGCGACCGGAACCAAGAAGCCAGGCAAGGGTGGAGATGACTTTGATGCCGATGATGAATTCAAGGACCTGGGCTTTTTTAGCGAAGGAAACAGCTTTGATGACGATGATGATGACTTTTAATGTCTGAAGTATTACAACAACAGCAGGCCGTTTTCCCGGTAACGCAGGAAGAACTAAAGCCGCTCAAAAATAAAATGCTGAACTGGGCCCGCCAGTTCAGCATTTTCCTTTTTCTGGACAGCAATGGATACACCGCACAGGGTGGTCGTTTTGATTGTCTGCTGGGGGCTGGTGCGCGCGACGTTTTCAGCCCGGTTACGAATAGCTTTGATGAGCTATATGCTTTTCATCAGGCACAGCGGAGCTGGCTCTTCGGGCACCTGGGTTATGACCTTAAAAATGAGCTGGAACCACGCCTTTCATCGGCACATAAGCGGAGGCATGATTTTTCGGAGATGCAGTTTTTTGTGCCGGAAATTGTGGCTGGTATAGACCATGAAGCCGCAACGCTTTTTATTGAGGCAACAGATCCGGCAGCCATTTACCAGCAGATCATGGAGACACCTGTTGGCGAAGAAACATCATTACCGGAGCTGGGTTTTCAGCAACGCATAAACCGCGAACAATACTTACAGATCATTGCTGCACTACGTGAGCATATCCGTAATGGCGACTGCTACGAAATCAACTTTTGTAATGAAGCTTTTTGCGAAGATGCGGTGCTGGATGCGGTGGCCATCTTTCATCGATTAAACCAGCTATCACCCGCACCCTTTGCAGCCTGTTACCGCCTGGATACGCAATACCTGCTCTGTGCCAGCCCCGAACGGTATCTGAGGAAATCAGAATGCCAGGTCATTAGCCAGCCCATTAAAGGCACGGCCAGGCGTGGCATCGATACAGATCAGGATGAACAATTGAAGCAAGACTTATTGGCGAGCGAGAAGGAACGTGCAGAGAATGTGATGATCGTAGACCTGGTACGCAATGACCTGGCCCGTAGTTGTGAAACGGGCAGTGTGCACGTCGATGAATTGTTTGGCCTGTACAGCTTCCCGCAGGTGCATCAGTTGATCTCCACCGTCAGCGCTACACTCCGCAAAGACCTGCCTTTTACGGATGCCCTTAAGTACAGTTTTCCGATGGGCAGCATGACCGGCGCGCCGAAGGTAAAGGTGATGCAGCTGATCGGACAATATGAGGCTGCAAGGCGTGAACTCTTTGCCGGTTCGGTTGGTTATATAGATCCTCGTGGAGACTTTGATTTTAATGTGGTTATCCGAAGCCTGTTTTATAATGAGACGTCGCGGTACTTGTCTTATCAGACCGGCGGCGCCATCACCTGGGACAGTGATGCTGCGGCTGAAT